CATGGCCCCAACCCTACCCCAACTCCAAAATCAGCTCCCCCCTGGGGTGCCTGGGTGGCTCAGTCGGTTAAGCATCTGACTCTTGGTTTAGCTCAGGTCATGATCTCACAGTTTGTGAGTTCGAGCCCCACATCAGGCTCCAAGCTAATGGTGCAGAGCCTGCTTGGGTTTTTTTTTTCTCTCTCTGCCCCTCTCTCGAAATAAATAAGAAATAGACTTAAAAAAAATCATCTTTCCCTGGGAAAGACCCTGGAACCCTTCAGGTCATCTCTATCCCCACCCCCACTATGACTAAATTCAGGCCCTCGCTCGTCGTATCTGATCTCCAATGTGAACAGAGTCACCACCGCATCCCAGAGCCTATCACAGGGCCTGATACAATACACAGAGGCTCACTAAATATTTGATCAATTCAGTTTTATAAAAGAGGATTCCTTTCCTCTCTTCAACTTCATCCCTTCCCCACCTGCTGCCTAAAAGCTAATTCTTTATAACATGGAAACCATCAAAAACTGGTTCAAAAACACAAGAGTGGTTAAATAAACGAAGTGTGGTACTTGACTCTGAAGTCATTATGCAGCTAATGTTTTCAAAGAAATATGTAACTCAAAATGTGCATACTCAAAGATAAATATATTAACAGAAAAAAGGCACTGAAACCAAACGTATTTTATCATTCCAATTTTTATTGTAAATATTCACATGTATGAGGAGTAAAAGACAATACGAAATATGAGCAGATCTCACTGAGACGCGGGATTACTGCACTCCTCCACACACTTCAGGTATTCCAGAACAAACGTGTTCTGCTTTCATAATTAGAACAAGTATTTTCAGAGAAATCTGTACAAATGTTAACAGACTATGTTCTTCACGTACAAAGTAGGAAACATTTTCTTCTCTCCCAGAAGTTCCACATTTACACACATGCCTGGAGTCGCAAAGCTGGGTGTGAGTCTCAGATGTGATCACTATTCCTGGAGAAACAAAGCAGCAGACACCTGCAAGATGAAAATACGCCTCCAGCTGCTGAACTGCTCAGTGTGCTCGTGAGCTACAATCGGATGAGGGTCCCTGTAAATAACACTTGGTCCCAAAACACTACAATTATTTGGCCTATGCGTATTTAAACAAAATACTGCTTTGAAAGCCAATGGCTAAAGGAAAGCGGCACTTACAACGATCCTATCACAACACGACAACGGTCTCAGCAAGCAGCATTTACAAGTACACAAACCCGCGTAGGCAGGACTCTGTTTTATGCTTTTATTCTGGTGTGACAAATGTACAGTCACTGATTTTGAAGAGTCCTTCACGGTGACTCAGACTAAACAAACCAAGAATTGCAATTATTTACCTCAAAGGGGGAAGTATGTAGCACAAAGCAGTAAGATATTAAATTTCATGTGAGGTACGAAATTTATACTCTTTTCTGCAGAGAAGGAAACAAAAACTGGCATGAATTTCCAGGTGTGTTAAGACAAAGCGTAAAAGGACGCACCATTAAATAAGAGCCACAGAAAATTCTGTTCACGGTCACCACTGGTAGAACGCGAAACTATGGCGTCAGAGGCCACAGTACGGTCACCGCTGAAGGAACAGTAGGAGGGCAGTCACTGCAGGGAACGTGGGGGCCTCTGGGGTGCTGGTAACATCCTCAACAAGTTAGTAGTTAAACGCACATTTGATTTTGAGAAGTCACTGAGTTCTACACTCAGGATTTGCTCTTTTCCGCATATACCCTACGCTTCAATTAAAAAGTTAAAACCGAAATGATCCATGCCCATAGTGGCTTCTGGAGTCAAACTGATAGGGGTCCAAATCATTCCAGCAACGCGCCACGGGGCGGTGGGCAAGTTCTTCACTCAGAGCTTCGGTCTATCCGTACGCTGGGGGAGGGACTCAATCACAAGGCAGGTGGCTGGCACACGTCCCCACTCGCCTGCACAGTCACACAAGCACTGGACAAACAGTTTAAAATATTTTAGCAGTTTACACACTGTATTTTGAGTCGTGAAAAGCAGAAAGGAATGCAAATGTTTTACTGGGAACTAAAACTGATCAACGAAAGTCATGGCAAATGCACAAGACATCATGAGAAGCATGAAGTGACAAAAGGAAAACCAGACGACTGAACACAGACAAATACCAACGAGCTACTTTAAATACTGTGTCCCCTCAGACAGCAAGTCTGCACTGACGATTCCCATACCAAAAAGCAAAGCCTAACATTCTTTAAAAAGCATCACTATCGGGCGCCTGGGTGGCTCAGCTGGTTGAGCGTCTGACTCTTGGTTTTGGCTGAGGTCATGGTCTCATGGTTTGTGAGTTCAAGTCCCATATCGGGCTCTGTGATGCTGACAGCTCGGAGCGTGCTTGGGATTGATTGATTGATTGATTGACTGATTCTCTCTCTCACTCTCGCTCTCTCTGCCCCTGCTGTGCTGTGTGCTCAAAATAAAGAAATAAACTTAAAAAAAAAAGCTCACTATTATTCACTTGGAAGAGGTGCAAGTTAGGCTGTGCTCTAAACAAAATTCTCAAAAAGGTCACTCCTGACTTACAACAGTAGTACAAAGTCAGTGGGGTCGACAGGGACCAACCTAGAAACAGCAGCAGAAGTGCAACCCCTTAGAGATAAACATGTGAGAGCAGAAAGTAGTCTGGGGAGCAGGACTGTGGGGCAGAACTTATTTTTTTTTTAATGTTGACTTATTTTTGAGAGAGAGAGAGAGAGAGAGAGCAAGAGAGGGAGAGAGCACGCATACGAGAGGGGAGGGGCAGAGACAGAGAATCCCAAGCAGGGTCAGTGCTGTCAGAGCAGAGCCTGACTCGGGGCTCG